GATAGTCATTCCCACTTGTGTTCATCTATGAGGAAACATCAAATACCCTAGAATTTATTTCTTCTGAAAAGAGAACATCGGGGTAGGGAAGGATTTTCCAGAAGTATTTGAACATTTTAATGCAGAAGATCTACTGTGCTTAGCATTAAAAACAAGGTTATAGCTTCAAATTAAGGATAGTAAAAGTGAAAGGAGAATTTCTTTGTTAAAGAGTGACAGAGGTTTAACAGAAAATGTGATGTAACAAGCAGTTAGAAAGTGTTTAAAAAGAAAGTAGATAAGTTGGGAAATTAGGATTCCTGGATAACAGATGGTAAGATAGATCAGGGTGGCCTTGTGGGGCCATTTCACCGCTCCCTCGTATCATAATCCGTATGGTATGTTTCTGGAAGGAAAATACAAAAATTTTGCATGTAAGGCCCGGGGATGTTTCTCAATTAGGGCATCCGGCCGTCAGCAGCCAAAAGGTTGGACCACCCTGAGATAGATGAATCCAAGGAATCTTTTAGGAAGTTGCATTGAATATCCCTGGAATGTCTCCAGAACAACATCTGTTCTGTTTACTTTTCAACACAAAACCACGCGTGTGTCCTTGACCTTGGACACAGATATTGACCCTTAGATAGCTTTAATGCATAATGTGCCTCTGACCTCTGTACCCGTTCCTGATCTACATTCTGTTTCAGCCTCCACTTTGCTGATATGATGTGATCAACTAGATCCCCAGGTTTAGATAGACAAATAGACCTGCCTGAAACCCTATGTTTCTGGGTGAAAGATAATGTTCAGTAACGTTTCTCACCATGTGCTAGATACCTAGATTTGACTCACAGCAAGAAGCTATCATTGGTGTGGTAATAAAATCCTTTCAGTAACAACCTACAAAATATCTGGTTGGATTCAAGATGTAGATTGGTGTTGGGAGAACATTGATGTTGATAACGGGGGTGCGGGGTCAGGTGTTTGCTGGTGATAGGAGAGAAAAGGCTGAAGTTGAGGGCATTACCAGTGATGGGCAGGGATGGGGGGAATGCAGGGTGATGGTAACAAGGGTATGTGGCATGCAATTCATTCAGGTTTAATGCGAGCACGAAGAATGATCTGTTGTTAAATACGACTACTAATCACTAAATTGATTACCTTTGCACTCTATGTATCCATCCACTGTAAAGCATTCAAATCCCAACACATTAACTGTCACTAATTGTACATCTTGTCTGCAGTGCCCCATCATAAACCAGCAATCATACTTTCATCAAACAATTCATAACTTTTACACAACCCTCTACCCTTTGCTCTGATGTAAAGGATTTTACATAAATTAAGTAATCAACTAATAAATGATCATCATCAACCAACTAATCTTTCTCTGAAAGTCTCGGTCAGTTTTCAATCTATTAAGCAAGTTGTTTACTTCAAGCTATTGAGAGAATTGAATTTTCCACTGCTGGTCCTTACACACCAGTGAAACCTGTAAGCATGTGTTAGAGTCAGGTTTACCCACAAAATACACACAGTCACACACTTTACAGTTTACCTTCTGAAGGCTTTGAGACATCTTGATGATGGAATAAAGTCCTACATGAAATGCTAGCTTCTTAAAAAATATATTATTTGAAGATATTGTCCTACATGCAACTGGTTTTGGTAGCTGGTGCATTCACAAAATTTGTTCCTTTAAGAATTGTATCTGAAAAGTTTATCCCACATGATGGTTGTTGCACATAATTGTCTCTGCTATGCTTTGTAATGCTTGCACTACTACTCAGAGAAACTCTTCATTAGAATGGAGTCTGTTCTGTACAAAACCACCAATTTTCATCTCTATCTTTCTCAGTTGTGCATCCTGCACCTCAAGTGCCCTATTGCCTTTATTCACTCAATAGTTGTAAAGTGGTTACAGTCTCATACCACATCACTACCTGGAACAATTGATGTTTTTTTTATCCTGTGCCCTAGACAGTTCACTTTTCCACGTTTTATTATTGGAATTGACTTGCTGAGGGATATTGCAGCAGAACAGGATACTCTTCTCAATGTGGCATCCAGATACTCAATAGTTAGAGCAGTATCACTGAATTGTGGTCAGAAGGCACCCGAAGCCCAGAGGTTGCTGAAACCAATTGTCTACCACTGCCTCCATTGCAATCCTCAATTGCACCAGAGAGCAGGGATTGAACCTTTAACTCTACCTGCCTGTGTGTCTTAGTTGCTCCCTTTTAAGGTTAATTAAAGAGTTTTAAATCTTCCTATTTAAGCTGGGCCTCCCCATCTTATATAACTGCAATATGTCAATAAAGGGGTTGGATTTCTTCTTGCATGTTGATGTTTATCAAAAGTATTTATGTTGCCTTACCAGGGAAAGATGAAACAGGTGATTTATTTTAAGGAGTACTGCTATGTTGCTGAGGTATGAACCATCTATGCAACAGTACATCGTTACTCCTTACTATTATTTTGGACTGAAGTCAAATAGACTATACATCTAATGAGTCCTTTTACTTTCATCTCTCAGTGCTAAATTTAGGTTGATACCCATTGCCGAAAGCACAACAATTCTTTCTTTCTTTGACAGAACAATATGATGCTACATAACACACCAGTCATCTTGTTAAATAATTTAGTTGGATGTAATGTACCAAATGTCAGAACATGTTTATTGATCAGACTTAATGGGTTGCTGTACTATTTGAGATGGTGTATGTTTTTGTTGGCCCACAGTCAGAAGAATATCCTCAATATGACCAAATTATATGACAAAAACTTTGAAAGTGGTGTTATATCTCGACAGTGCAGAGGTATGCCTCTGGCTCTGCATTATGTTCTGTTTCATCAAGCAAAGCATGGCCCATGCTCACTCACATGCATGTGCAATCCTATATCATCAAGCATCCCTTACTTTATTGTAATGAAGCTGGTGTGTAAAAAAATACACACTAAGACAGAGTCATCTGGGAGGTCACTGGTTCAATCCCCCTTGTGTGCTCAGTGAGCTATCAATGGGTGTTGGTTGAGCACATGATGATGTTTAGCTGTGTTTATCTGGTAAGCAAATTCCTTGCAGATATTCACTGTTTTGGTAATGCAGCTGAGAAGTGGCCATTTTGTTTCTAAGTTCATGGTGTGTATATTTCACTTTAGCAGCAGACTTTGTGTGATACAAAGATTTTTGATGGGGAGTTGGGGACCTATGTGCATTTGGTAAGGAAAGTAAATTTACATCTTCACTGTTTTCTTTTTATCTGTCTTACCCACCTCTCTGCCCTTCTTCAAGTCACACCTAAAAGCTTTTGTCTTTAACCGTACCTTCCCTCCTTTTCTGGCTTGGCATCAAACTATGCCATTGTTAAACTCTCCAAGACGCTACCCATGTGAAAGGCATTATTTAACTGCAAGTTCTTGTTGTTATTGCTTTGGCTCAGTGAGTAAGAAAAGGCAACAGTTAGCACAAGGGCTGAATATTATTTCAAAAGATCTGACTGCGGTAGTCTGGAATAGAATTTTTGTTTGGGGAGTGGTGGTGCAAAGTGTGAATGAACCTTTGCAGCAGTAATGGTTTGAGGACAATCTGTTCCAGGATCCAGTTTTAATAATAATAATAATAATCCTTGCATTTGATATAGCGCTTTTCACGACGGGAGGACGTCCCAAAGCGCTTCACAGAACACACTGCAAAGTGAATTGACTGTATTTTTTGTGGGTGAATGCGGCAGCCAATTGCGCACAACAATGTTCCACAAACAGTCGTAGATTGAAAATGACCAATTTTATTATTGTTTTTTTTTGGTTTTGGAGGGATTATTATTAGGCTCTGTGTGGAGTAAGGAAACTTTCCCAAGGTTTCGCCCTCTGCCTGGAATTGAACCCAGGTCTCTCGCTTGCAAAGCGAGTGCTCTAACCACTGAGCTACAGGACTCCAGAATATTTTACCCAGAATATGAACACATTCTCCCCAATGGGAAAATGTGACCTTTTAATAGTTGGCATAATAAATGCTCTTTTAATTTTTTACTTTATTGAGAAACTTTGCTTTGTCTTCACTGATGACCTCTTTAGTTTGCAAACTAGTTCCCAATAATTTTGCACAGTGGAGAGATCGCCAGCATTCGTTCTTTATGGATAGATCTGTTGGGACTACATTAGCAAGTGATACTGTACACCAGTGATTAATGATCCTCGGCCCCTGGAGTCTTTCCTTTCTCCTGTAATCTACAAACTGGTACCTAACCACAAGCGAGGCTGTTTAACTCAGCCTTTCACCCGTTCTTTTCACCTTCCATGGTTTTCATCTTTCATCCATGGTTCTCTGTCAAATATCTTTCTTAGTAACACGACTGATTAGTTGACGGAAATGTAGTGTTCTTATTTATTATTCCTTCTTCAGTTACCAATTTGTGGTTTGGGAAAACTTGTTTTTAAGGATACCTTTGCCGAAATATTCCAGGGTAGAGAGCAGAATGGGTTGATTGTTAGCCTGTAATAATTCAAACTGCTGGAGATGTCAGGATCCAGAACCTCCAGAAACAACAGAACTATATCACTTGTATTACAACGGTGCAGCTAGAGGCTTTAGTCCAATTAATTCTGTGTTCAAACTGCCTCAGTGTCGTGGTGGCCTGAGGTTTAGCAACACCATTTGTTTAAATGCTACAGGGCTGACAAATTACCTCCCTGTTTCAAGGTTATTCGGTTGAACTGTTAGACCAGCATTCGTCATCATTTAGTCACATCATTGACCCACCACTTCATTAAGTAGCTCTTGAATATCCAGTTCAAGTTACACATCCGTCTGTTTTTTTCCTAATACAAAACAGTGGTTTCCAATCATGTTTTTAGCACTTCCTCTGCAATTGGCCTCCATGTGATACGCCTTCACTTCTATGACTTAGGTGGCTGAGGCTCTGTTGTTTTTCAAGGTCCAAACATACAGTAGTTGCACATTCTCTTCATAATAATATGCATAGCTTGATAACTTGTGTCATGTCTGATTTATCCTGCAGCCTTCAGCCGAGCTCCAGTTCCAATGGCTGTGGTCAGGAGGGAGTTGTCTTGTGAAAGTTACCCAATTGAGCTCCGTTGTCCGGGAACTGACGTCATTATGATCGAAAGTGCCAATTACGGACGGACAGATGACAAAATCTGCGATGCTGACCCAGCCCAGATGGAGAACATTCGGTGTTATCTGCCAGACGCCTATAAGATAATGTCACAGAGGTAAGTGCAGAGAAAACTTACCGTGCAGCTTTGTAGGCTAGGGAAGGTGGTTTCTATAATTTGTACTGCCTTGGTGTTTTCCGGAACACAGTGAGAGCATGCCAGACAACAAATGGGTCCATTGTTCACGGAGTCAAACTTGAACTTTGCCCATTAATCTGTAAGTCAGCAGTGTCCCAGCCGTGGGGCTCGTTGCAGATTTGACTGTACCAAATGGGTGTGTGGTGTTTGATCCCAAATTTGTGCCACATATTGGAACTTCCAAAAGCGTTTGCAGGATCAGTACATGTGTCAGTTGTTGCCAATTAAATAGGTTCTTGCATTTTAAAATCAATCTTTTGCCAATAGAAAATGATTTTCAACAACAACAACTTGGATTTATATAGCGCCCTCCACGCCAGACGGCGTCTCAGAGCGCTTTACAGTTTCGGATCCCGGGAGCGAGCCAGGGGGAGGGGGGAGGGAAGGTGACCAAAGGCGCGGTCGAAAAGAAAGGTCTTCAGCAGAGACCTGAAAATGGGAAGGGAGGAAGCAAGGCGAAGGGAGTGAGGAAGGCAGTTCCAGAGCCTCGGGGCGTAGTGGCTGAAGGCACGGCTGTCGAGGGTGGTGCGGAGGACTCGGGGGACAAAGAGGAGGCCAGACCCGGAGGAATGAAGGCAACAGGTACTGTGCTGAGGAGAGAGGAGGTCAGAGAGGTTTTCAACACAGTTAAACCACATTCCTCATTCCAGCCACAGAAACAGAGAGAAATGGAGGGGAAATCGGGTCTCTTCAACAACAACAACAAGATTCAATTTATAGAGCACCTTTCACGTCGGGAGGACATCCCAAGGCGCTGTACAGTTAGGTCAGGACCCGAACAGGGGGGAAATGGTCAGGGTGAGGGGAGGGAAGGGAGGGAGCGAGGAGGGGGTATAGAGTCGAGAGGGGAGCTGAAGGCACGGTCAAAGAGAAAGGTCTTGAGACCGGCCTTGAAGGAGGAAAGGGAGGAGGCGGAGAAGGCACTGGGGGATGGAGTTCCAGAGCCTAGGGGCTGAGAGGCTGAAGGCCCCGCCACCGATGGTAGGGCGGTTGGGGCGGGGGATGTGGAGCAGACCGGAGCCAGAGGAACGGAGGCTACGGGTAGGTAAGTAGGGGGATAGTAGGTCAGAGAGGTAGGAGGGAACAAGGCCGTGAATGGCCTTGTAGGTGAGGATGAGGATCTTGAATTTGATCCTCTGGGGGATGGGGAGCCAGTGGAGGTGAGCGAGGGTGGGAGTGATGTGGTCCCGAAGCCTGGTGCGGGACAGTACACGAGTTCTGAATGACCTGCAGCTTGTGGAGGGAGGTGCCGGGAAGGCCGGCGAGGAGAGAGTTCCCATAGTCCAGCCTTGAGGTGATAAAGGTGTGGACCAGAGTTTCACCAGCGTGAGGGGTGAGGTAGTGCCGTAGTCTGGCGATATTCCGGAGTTGATGGAAGGCGGTGCCAGTTGTGGCGCAGACATGGGGGAGAAAGGACAGCTCAGGGTCGAACAGAACGCCGAGGTTCCTGACTGCTTTGAGAGGTGGAGAGTGCAGCCTTGGATGCTGATGTTGTCAGCGCCTGAGGTGCGGAGGCGCTGACGTGAGCCAATCAGGAAGGCCTCAGTTTTATGTACGTTGAGCTGAAGAAAGTTGTCTCTCGTCCAGGACTCGATGTCGGACAGGCAGCTGTCAGGACATCGGTGGTCGTGGAGTTGAGGGTAGAGGAGGAAAGGTAGAGTTGGGTGTCATCCACATACATGTGGAAGTTAACCCCATGTCTGCGGATGATGTCACCAACATCTAAACAAGAAAGTTTATTCAATATGTTGGATGTGGACTTCCCGCAAGTACGAATGCACACACCACAACCACATTTCTAGCATTCACAGCTTTCTTTTTATCTCCTTCTGAATGACATATCTGATTTTTTTTATATGGCGTTCTACTGGAGAGATAGATAGTGGAATGTCATTTCCCTTCCTTTCTGAGACATGCGTTTCCAGTTGCGGTGGTGGTGATTTAACCTTGTGGAAACTTAGTTTTTTCAGGCAAAGTTCCCATTATATTTGAGTTGTTTATTCGGGAAATGAATTGATAATAATAATAATAATAATCCTTGCAGTTGATATAGCGCTTTTCACATCGGGAGGACGTCCCAAAGCGCTTCACAGAATACACTGTAAAGTGAATTGACTGTATATTTGTGGGCAAACGCGGCAGCCAATTGCGCACAGCAATGTCCCACAAACAGTCGTAGATTGAAAATGACCAATTTATTATTGTTTTTGGTTTTGGAGGGATTATTATTAGACCTGTGGAGTAAGGAAACTTGCCCAAGGTTTCGCCCTGACGGGAATTGAACTCAGGTCTCTCACTTGCAAAGCGAGTGCTCTAACCACTGAGCTACAGGACTCCACAAATGATGATCTTGAATCCAGTTTCAAAATAAATAAAATAAGGAATGTATTTGAATGATTACTGCCCGGTGGGAGACCTAATTGGAGAGCACCCGGAAAGGGTATTTAGAAGGATTTGGATTTAATTGTCTGTTGAGAAACTTCAAAGAATTAAGCTGTCATCCAGGATAGGCTCTCATATATAGCCTGAAAACAACATGCAATCCACCCCTTGCTAATGCAGCCTGCATACAATATGCAATCCACCCCTTCTATTACACCCTGCTAATACCATACATGGAATGGTATCGGGTGCAATCAGGCCATTTGGCACAACTAATCTGTGCTAATGTTTATACTCCACATGAGCCCCCTCCCCTCCGAATTCAGTCAAAGAAAGTACCCTTATAAGTCGTTGGTGTTGAGAACTTTCTGGCATTTTTTGTATAGAGCTTTTAAATCAGCCATTGGGAGGTGATGACGAAGTTGCCCTTTTCTAGTGGAACGAGATGCCCGCTTCGCTCCACATCAATAAGCTTGAAAGGTTAGGCCCCAGCAGTTACCCCAATGCACACTCTGGGGTCCTCAAGCCTTGGCTCTTGCCAACCTGTGCCAAATACTCTTTGGAAACGCGATGTGTCCCCCTCCAGGGAGAGAGTGCGCATTCCTTTCCAACAGTCTACCTCTGGGATTTCCATCTATAGGTGGGATGCATGAAATTCTCAGTTTGGTTTGGATACTCTTAAGCATAGTGATGGGTTTTCGTGTGTGTCAGACACCCAGTTGACCAAAAAAGATAATAATTCAGGAACGTAACATAGCAGTTTCAGGAACCTGAGCGAAGAGAATAGTGTTCTGTGGAGCTGCCTGTTCGTGTGCCAGTGTACTACAACATCATGTAATAGGTTTCCCCTGAATCTTGGAAAAAATGCATTTCACTTGCTCAGAACACAACCTGCTTGCAACCAAAACACACAACAACAAATAGAGCTCGAGAGACCTATGCTGTTGTGACATCTAATGGCTGCATGCTGGGTTCTTGTGGACATTAAGTTTAGGTAAGTGCAGAGATGGAGACCAAGGTCAAGGAGCAGAAGATAAGTGAAGTTCTACAGAGATGTATTCTGTGTCCCACAGTTATCCCTGATGTTTCTGTTGAGGGTGAAAACAGTTATGATAATGAAACCTTGTTCACACTACATGTATTCATCACTGTTTTGGAGGAAAATATTCTTGTAGAATTAAGAGTTTAGCATTCTACAAATTTTATCAAATATGCATTATCTTCAAATAAGTAAGTCAATGTATGATATGAATCTATACACTATTAAGGGGGAATCCAGGCTAACTGAAGTAGATTATTTTAAGATAATGCATATTTGACAACAATAAACTGTAAATTATGCAATACAATTGCAGTTGCTCAGAACAAAAGCTACTTGCAACCAAAATCATTACCAAATGATAAGAGGTGGTGATGGAAAAGGTTTGGGTTGTGATTGTTGAGTGTTCACCTAAGAATCTGAAACAACATGAAAGTGCTCTCAGCAAATACTACAGTCATTTGCATCTTAAAGTCATCTGAGTAACTGTCGAGATAAATTATTGTAATGTCTTATAATCCATGCTGAGGTCAGATTAGGAATATTGGGGTCTAATTTCAAGAGTCAAGGGATTCCTGCAGGTCTTGAATTGAGGGAGGCCCACCCAGGTCCTGTAGACCTGTTCACTGGAACTCCTCTCAGACACTTAACTCTGTGAAGTGAGTTACATCCTGCTATACTACTCAGAGTAGAGTTTCATCAGATGGGTACTTAATAATAATGCGTTTTTCACAAACTAGACTCTTACGTGTTTTCAACTTGAAGGCAGAGAAGAGCACCCAGTCTAGGAATTCCAGGTTTGGGAACTCTTGTTCTCAGGAGAGGTTCACAGAGATGAAATTATTGTGGTTAAGTAATTGAGGATAATATTGGAGGAAATCACAAGAGTTGGAGATTGAAATGACACAGGATTTCTGTGGGGTTGGCGTATTAGCGATTGAATTGTGCTTAGTGTTAACATTGGCAAAATAATAATTTTTAGTATTAAGCACACTTCAGAAAGCAGTTGTGTCATTCTGAGTAGTGATGTGGAAATAGATAAATATTCTGAAGCTTTTGCTTAACTTTGTCATATTCTGATATTCTGTGAATATCTATGCAGTGTGTCTCTTAACATTTGTAATGTGTTAGGTTTAGTGTAATTTATATAAGGTAGAGCTTGATCAGTCAAATAGGCTTTTTTATATTCTTGTACCTACGAGTCAAATGCAGGTAAATTGTCATGTTGCGTGATTTACTTCTGTTTTATTTAAGAGAAGAGTATATTTAAATCAGATTTTCCTAAAATGAAGATTTAGTGTTTCCTGACTTGTCAAATCTCTTAGCCAAAGTTAGAATTGTTTTAGTTTACTACTAATCTGCAAAATCACTCCATAAAACTTTTTTGGACCATGATTTCAAACTGCTAGGTCAAAGTGCAGCTCAGACAGATTTTAAAATGAGTGTAGTGTGCCAGCAAACAAACATCGCAGAAATTAACAGGGATCCTTTTGCCTTC